GGTGAAAGTCATCTAAGAGCATTGAAATTGTCATTAAGAGTCCTTTTTCTCCAGTAGCAGATGAGACAATGAGGGAAATGGTTCTCCAGGACAGTGGGTGATGGCTCCCCAGGGAGAGGGGACATTTAGGGTCCTTTGCCTGCTCCTCACAGAGTCAGCGGTCACTACAACAAGGTGAGACTGAAATGGAAAGCAAGGGCCTTCAAGCAGAATTTCCTCAAAAATAATTTAACATTACTGAGTTTATCTTCAAAGCACCGGTTTTGGTAAAATATTGTTGTTCCAGACTTATAGATGCAAAAACAAGAACCAGAAAAGCAACAAATGACCAATCCCTCCACATAAGTCCTTTGATTTCTGTAAGCAACTTCAGAAGCTATTGGGATGAATTTGGGAAAGTTTATCACCCCAAACTACCATTTGCCCAGAAAAAGGAACTCATGGACTTCATCCAATTTATAAATTGCTAGTGCAAGCCAAAGTCTGGCTTAATTCATTGACCACCTGAAATTCTGTGTCAAAGAAGGGAAACAGTTGTTGAGGATGGCATTTAAGTGCCTAAACCAGAATAGATTGTCTACATGTCTTAGCCTTGTTTATACATTTATTTCTCTAATAATGGGAAAATGGCCCAACACCGTGCCTTCATTAACTCTAAAAATGATGAATCCAAATCAGCTATGCTGTTGAATACCTGCATTAAAGACTACACCATACTACAGATGCATACACAAAAGAATAAAAGTTAACTCAAGGATATCTCTTCATTCGACAATTTTACCAGTTTTAATATCTAACTTTGAGATTTGAATATTTTTTAACGTAGTCTTTGTCTATGGAAGTTTCCTTTTTTGGCCCATGTAATTATCCACATGTATTTTCTTGATATGAACATTAATTTAAGTCTGAAGCAGAAATATGATCCTTTTGTGCAATTAGAATGTGCAGACTTCTCTTTTTCTTGATATGAACATTAATTTAAGTATGAAGCAGAAATATGATCCTTTTGTGCAATTAGAATGTGCAGACTTCTCAAAATGCAGCAAGAATCAAAAAGAAACAAAAGGAATTGAATTCTTTCTAATTAGCAACATGCTCTTTTCCATTCACCTCTCTCAGCTTTTTGTCAAGGGTACACTACCAAGTATGCTTTCTGTTTCCCTTTATCCCTACTTCTTCCAACTTTGTTCTGAGACAAAACCCTTCAGAAAATGATACACCTTTAACTTTTTGTAATATGTATGTATTGTCTTTGATCAGAACAAAGAATCTACTCTTCTTCTTATTTTCCCTGTTTATTGCTAATGAAAGAAAAATCCCTAAAAGTAGTTTGAAGTTTAACTGAAAGCAGTTTAAAAACATACAATAAAAATACATGTACATACACTTAGCAGTAAAAACATGACAACAAAAGCATAACTTCCAGCTATGCACAAGTCATTCAGGAGCTTCTCTAGTACTGAGATATTTAATGTAGACCTCATGGAAAAAATTATCAGCTCACATGTGTGCTAGACAGCAATTTCTCTCTTCTGCTTCTGTCACAGGTACACAGAATTTCAAGAAAAAAGCAGCAATTTTATGCTTGCTGGGTGGCAGAAAAGTGAAATCTCTCCATTCTGTATTTCATGGGAGAATGCTGGGTTTTGTCTAAAACCATCTAAGAGTCATTGTCCTCTTTCTTTCTACTACTGTTTTTTTAAAATGCAATGTCTAATATAAAATAGCATTTTAAGATATCATTGACTGGTTTTAGCTCTGTGTGATTTAATAACAATTATTGATAGCAAGTGCTTAGTACAATATTGTTTCCTTGTTTGAAAGTAATGCTGATCTAAGTACTCGTGTATGTAAGGTTAGAAATAGGCTTATTGTACCATTCACAAAATTTGACCTACTTGAAAAAAGCAAACAGCAAAGATACAGCCAAATCAGAGCTGTTCCCCTCACTAAAAATAAATTCTATAGAAACATTTGCAATTGTTTATCCTTTTTAAGCTTAACAAATTTAAAATCAAATAGGACAGAACACAATAGAATAAAATAGAATAGTTCCATTGGAAGGTTCCTACAACAACCATCTAGTCCAACTGCCTGACCAACTCAGGGCTGATAAAACTTCAGCATGTTCAGCTGAGAAGTGGAGCTTCACAATAGAGTGGCTTTGGTGAGCACCTGTCATCCAAGCAACCACACAGTATTTCTTGGTAAAGGAATGCTTCCTAGCTATAGAATCATTGAGTAGTTTACACCAGAGAAGACCTTTAGGATCATCAAATCCAACTGTTAATCCAGCATTGCCAAGTCTACCACTAAACCATGTCCCTCAGTGCCATGTCAACAAATCTTTTAAATATCTCCATGGATGCTGACTCAACCACTTCCCTGGGCAGCCTGTTCCAATGCTTGATAAAGCTCTCAAAAAGAAATGCTTCCCCAATATCCAGTCTAAACCTTCCCTACAGCTTTGAACTATTCCAATGTGCCTTTTCACTGGATACCAGAAAGAAGAGCTCAGCACCTTCATCTCCACATCTCCTCCTCAGGAAGCCGTAGAAAGCAATCAAGTCACTCCTCAGCCCTTTTCTTACAACAAGCCCAAAGTCCTTAGCTGCTCCCTATAGGACATACCTTCCAGCCCTTTCACCAGTTTTGTTGCCCACTTCTGGACACCTTCCCATCATTCGTAAACTGTGGTGCCCACAACTGTACACAGTGCTCAAGGTGAGGCCACACCAACACTGAACACATCCTGATGATCCCCTCTTTCACCTGGCTGGTGGTGCTGTGTTTGACACACCCTAGGTTGCAGTATGCTCTCCTGGTTACCAGGGCACATCCCTGACTTGTAACGAGCCAGCTGCCAACCAGCATTCCCAGATCCCTTCTGCACAGCTGCTCTCCAGCCACTCCCCTCCCAGCTTGCACTCGTGCCTGGCATTACTCCATCCCAGGTGCAGAATTTGGTATTTGTTCTTCCTAAACTCCATCCCATTAATCATTGCCCAATGCTCCAATCTACCTGGATCCCTTTGCAAAGCATCTTGTTCCTTCAGAGTCATCAGCACCTCCAAGTTTGTTATCATCCTCAAAAATTTTACTGGTGCTTTCACCTCCTCTATCCAGGACATTATTAAAAATATTGAACAAAACTGGTCCTAGACCTGAACCCTGAAGAAATGCCGCTGGTGACAAACTAACATGTGCCTACTTCCTATAAATATATTTTCACCTAAGAAATGTTTAAGATGGCTACATCTGTCATCAGCACAGCACCATCCAAAATAGTTTGCATTTTTAATATTTTCACTACACTGTTTCACTTCTTGCTATAAATGTAATGATATATTAATTTATGTTGTTGTATAGTAAAAACATTCCCATTTTTCTATAGGCTGTAAAATAATCTCTTGATCTTTTGAAGTATGTAATATATTCTGCTCAGACATTTACAGAAGTGGACTGCAAGAAGCTAAGATTTCCTCACCTACACTTCCCCAGTACCTTTAAGTAAAAACAGTACTATTTCTTCCAGGACCAAAACTAACATGGTATCAGATATTCAACACAGAAAAAATGTTGCTAGTCCCATAGAAATCCCATAGATTTGGTATTATTCACTTATTTCACATAGAAATGAGCATACACAGTTCAATGTTCATTACCTCTACTCACAAATTCATTAGGAAAAAAACCTCAGAGTCTGTAACCTTCACACACCAAACAGGACCTCCTTAAAGTTAAATTTAACTCTGTTCCACCTAGCTACAAAGAAAGTAACTTAACATTTTTATGAAAGAGCTACTCTGGACTTGTTCCTCACAACTGATATTTTATCTCATTACCTCTATTCAGGTTTGTGTATCTCAGCTGTTCTCTAGGATGTGTAGGAGGCAAGTTATCTCCCAGCCCTGCTACCTACATCTACACCTCTGTCCCTCATTGTGTTTCTCCCACTTTCCTCCTTCCCAGAGCAAGATCTTTTTTTCTCATCTTTGTCTTTTTGTAAAAGAAAAAAAAAAGTTCCAGTTGGTCTATCTCTACCCTCTTTGAAACCAGCACTGGGCCCTTCTGATCACCACTTCCCCACGGAGACCTTATGGTGCTGGATGCAGGTTTCAGGATGCCATTTGCTTTCCTCTTGGCAGAAGACTGAGGCAAAAAGGGAGGTGGCTTCCAGACTGCTCTAATGTTTGCTTCTTGCAATGCTGCAAATGCTTGAATGGGTCTACTCAAACGGCTCACACCAAGGATTATTCGTACCTTCAGGCACCAGTACTGGCAATCTAATGCACTTTTTTGTTTATTTTTTTTTTCTGCTTGGGAAAAACTGCAGGGGTGAACTACTCATCAGCTATCTAGTGGGAGCTACTGCAAAGGCAGCCAAAGCAAGGCCCTTCAGACAGAACTTTCGAAAGCTTTTTGCTGTGTCTGCTCCAGCCTGTATCGCTGGTTTGTTAGGTCAATTCTGACATTTCTTCCTCAGCTATCTTGCACCTCACATTCACATCTGTAACTGCATTCTTTCTCTGCCCTGCTCTTGTTTTCTCAATATCCTCATGATCTTTAATAAATCCTTTCCTCACTCCCTCAGAAACAAAATTAAAAAAGATTGTAAAATTACCCTTTCAGCAACACAGATCTTATGCTGCATAACTTGGGCTACTTTCTGGATTGTTCTCATTCAGTTCCTAGTACAAACACTGCCATACATCTTTTTTCCTCCGTGTTTAGGTATTGGAAGCAAAAACATGCATGAAAAAATAAAGTGAATTGAACCACTGTAATGCCAGAGTATGATTTATAAGATGCTGAAGCCTCATTTTGTATTGGGAAGACACTTGACCTCAGATGTCACTGAGAAAACACACGAATTTTTAGTATCAACTATTTTATACATCCCATGTTTTTCCTCAGAAATGTGGAATTTTAAGTGCATTGCCCACTCTATTGGAACAGAATGGTTGCTGCTGCTAAGAAAGACTGTTTGCTTGCTTTACCTGAGCTAGTAGAAGCAGGAGACTTGCTGCGTCGGGATGGGCCTGGGCTCTTGGTGGTGCTCCTACGTGAACTCGAAGCTATTTTAGTATAGGAAGTGGATTTCACCACCCGACATTCTAGAAGACAAAGAAACAGCATAAATTAGCAATTAAGAAAGCCAGCAAGATTCTGTAACAGAAAGAGCATTGAGAAGTGAAAACATTTAGCCCACGCTTGTTTTCATTCACCTTGAGGAGTTTTATGAGAAAGTATAAAATCTGTATAAATGGCTCCATTAAAATCCAAGTACAGTACGTACCATATCCCAGACAAAGAACTGCTGCAGTAATCCAGACTTTTAAATTCCATGGTTACTGCAGGTACTTAGGACAGCTTAATTTAACTGTACTGAGACTACTCATAAAATTTATTTGCTTTAGAAGATTTAAGTATAAGTAATGTAGCCATTTTTTGTAAACAATCCAGATGCAATGTAAGCATTTTTGTCAGCCGAGGCAGTCTCCTCTAGAAAAACTGGAAGTCTTCTTTTCTGTATCAATATGTTACAACTGAACATGATGACGCAATTGTCTTCCACTGATGAAAGGTTTGAAGAAAATAAAGCAGGTTTGTTGCTCCTGCTTAATCCTCTGGTGAGCAATAGCCCACATTGTGTAGCACACACAATTCATCACAGGTGAGGGAAACAGCACTACTCGCTCATAAGAGACATCAGTAAAATCAATGAAGAGGCGAAATTACCCTCCCACTCGAGAACACTACAAGATGTTCAGGTTAGAGTTTATGTACACCCACACAGATCTGTAGGCATCCTTGCATTATGACTGCAAAATGGTTCTTGGCCTGGGGATGAAAGAACTTATTGTGCATAGCACTGATGTCTTGCACTCCTAATGGATACTAGATTAATCATCAGACATATTACACAGTTGGGAAAAAAAGATCCACTTCTTAGTCAGTACACAATTAAAACTCTGCAGCAATGTTTACACTGTCTTCACCTGACAATGCCAGTACACTTCACTTGTTTAAAAACACATCAGTAAACATTTAGTTCTGTACCAGACCTGTTTCCTATTTTATTCCCATGGTTAAGGTTCCTCAACAAAGGTTAAGAGAAATAAACAAGAGCTTTTTCTTCCTAGTCAGAAAATACTGTGTAGAAGCCTGCACATTATTTAGTCTTCACAGATCAGTGGAGCCTGTAACATAGTTTAGACAGATTAGAGAACAAAGAAATAAAATTGAGCATAACTAATTAACTTAAACATATACACCCGAGAATGATGTAATGAAATTTATTTCTCTTGGCTGCCCTAACTGTTTGTCTTTCATCAGGCTGTTCAAGGAAATAGAAGCAAGAACTGATGCGTTACTGAGTGAAACATCCAGCACAGGTGAGAGCTGAGAGGACCAGAGAAATGCCTTGATCTTCCCAAAGAAGCTTTTCTTACCAAACTCTCCACATTCCTAATGCCCAATAGTAGCTAATTTCTTTCTCTTGACATTTTTTTGTGATTCATTGATGACTTCTCTTGTTTTATACCTAACAGTGGAAATGGAGAAAAACATTTACTCTATGAGGAAATTATCTACTGAAAACAGGTGGAATCAGATGAAAGCTTTCAATTAGGTGCCATTAGGTAACTACAGCAGGAATCTCAATTGATTTATTGGCATAAACAGCTGCTCCAGAAATTATACACAATGCAAATGTAAGCAGGTTCTTTATCTGCCTGTAAACAAAAATGCAAAATTTTCAAACATCTAACAGCCTGTTAAAACTGTCATGTAATCCTAGTGTGGGCCTCATCCACAGGAAACAGTCAGGAAGGGGAACTGCATATTCCAATGGTCAACAAACAACAATAAATAAGTAAATAAAGCAGAATGCTCCAACCAAGTGAAACCCATTAGAATATATCATTTGCTTTGTTGAAGAACTTAAGAGTCCATGAAGAAAACAGCTACTTTATGTAATATATAAAAAGCTTTCCTCTTTCCAGCATGTAAAGAAAACAATTATCTACATACCTCTCCCACAATTCATACTAAAGCTTAACTCTTATTTTACTACAAGTATTAATACTCATTCAGGTTCTCTCAATACCTTTAAAACACCCAGTCTTAAATATGTTGTCACAGAGGCATTATCACCATATCTAATTGGGTCAGACTTGGCCAGCAATGGGTCTGTCCTGGAGCCAGCTGGCATTGGCTCTGCCAGACATGGGGGAAGCTGCTGGTAACTACTCAAAGAATCCTCCCCTTTAGCCCCTCCCACCTCCAAAATGTGGCCATGCAAACACAGTTCATTTGCAAATCATCCTGAGGGGCACTTACAGACCCGGACCTGTAAGTAACCCCACACAAATGGCATACTGCCATAAGAGGAAGTCACCTCTTGCAGATAAACAACTTCTCTCCACAGGAAACACAAATGACCATATGATAATCCAAGAAATGTACAAGCATCACAGGATCATAGGATAATCCAGTTAAAACATGAGAAATTCCGAGTCCAGTTTCCTGCTCAAAGCTTGAAGTAGCTTTATATTCATAGTCCTGGATGACTTGGGGGACACTTCAACCCACTTGGGACATACACAGTGCAGGAGGATCTTGGAGAACATCGGTGTCAACTTCCCATTCCAAGTGACAGAGAAAAACAGTAAGAAGAGATGCTCTGCTCACTCTCACAAAAAAAGGGAAGACTCTGGGACTGTGCAGGCAGAAGGCAGCCTTAGCTGCAGTGACCAGGATAGGAGAGTTCAGTATTGTGAAGGGATTGGAGGGCAAAATGCAAGATCACAGTTCTGGACTTCAGATAAGCAGACTTGGGACTCTTCACATATCTGCTTGGAAGAGTCCCATTGGATAAAACCCTGGAGAGAAGAGGGACCCAAGAAAGCTGAGGAATATTAAAGGATCACCTTCAAGTTCCACAACAGTCCATCTCAACAAGCAGGAAGATGTTAAAAAATGCCAGGAGGTCTGCATGGATGAACATGTTGCTGTTGACCAAATTAAAACATAAAAAAGAAGCATAAAATAGGTGGAAGCAGGGACAGGTAACCTGGGAGGTATATAGTCCAAGTCCCAGCATGCAGACACAGTTAGGAAAGCTGAAACCCAATTAGAATTTAATCTGATGAGAAACATCAAGAGCAATAAAAAGTGTTTCTTTACACGCAGAGGGAAGAAAAGGAAGGCTACAGAAAATGCACACCCATGAAACGGAGCCCCAGTGTATGAGATAGGGCACCAATGACACAGAATGTGGAAAAAGCTGAAGTATTGAATGGCTTCTTTGCCTGTCTTCACTATCAAGCCAAACCTTCAGGAATCCCAGGTCCTAGAAGCAGTGTGAAAGTCTGGAGAGAGGAAAACCTATCCTGGGTGGAAGAAGATCAGATTAGAGAATACTTAAGCAAAACTGACACATGTAGGTCCATGGGACCTGACAGGATGCACCCTGCAGGTGCTGATGGAGTTGGATGATGTCATTGTGAAGCCACTCAATAGTCTTTGAATGCTAGTGATGATTGGGATAGCCATTTGAAGACCCAGCAAATCTCACTCCTATCTTCAAGAATACCCAGGGAACTACAGAAATCAGCCTCACATCAGTCCCTGGGAAAGAGATAGATAAATGAATCATGAAAATAATTTCAAGGCACATTAAGGACAAGAAAACCATCAAAAGCAATCATCATGGATTCACTACCAGGAAGCCATGCTCAACCAATTTGATACCTCTGCAATGAAATGACCAGCTTGGCAGATGCAGGGATAGCAGTGGATATTGTCTACCAGGACTCCAGTGAGGCTGTCATCTCAGACATTTTTCTTTATATCCAGTCTAAAACTTTTGTTTCAATTCATATCTATCACCACTCACCCTCTTACCAAGCATCACTGTGAAGAGCCTGACTCCACTACCTTGATGGAGAAGAGAAGGTGCCCCGCTGACATTGGAGGATATTGGCAGGTACCCCTGAAGCAATTTCCTTTTTCTCACTGAAAAACCTCAGCTCCCTCAGCCTCTCCTCACACAGCAAGAGCTCCAGCTACCCCAAAATGATGGTCTTTCTCTAATTGCCTCCAGTTTAATGATATCTCCTTTAAACTGGGGAGCTTTAAGCTAGACACAGCATTCCAGGTGCAGCATCACATGCTAGGCAGAGTCAGTTCCCTGTCTCTACTGAATCCCATTTAATCTATGTCACAGAAATACCATCTTTTTTTTCCTATTTTTCTATTTGTTTAAACCCTTTTGAGCTCAATTATCAACTTCTTTGGCACAATTTTCTTGTTCATCTCAAAAAAAATTCACAGGTTGTGAAACTTTAAAAGGTCACAGTTCAAATGAGCATATATTCTCTTTAAGGTAAACTTGTCAAGTGCCATCTTTTCTATGGGTTTATGAGTTTATTCTTAAAGGACATGAGCTATGGTATGGCCTGTGGAGAGCCATGCAGGAAAGCCTTCAGTACTGCACACAGCAGGCTCAATAAACACATGCGTTCAAAGACTAGGTCAAGACTAGTTCCAGAATCTAAAAGGATTTCCAGTCATGGGCAGAGTGTAACCAGGCTGCTTGTTTTAAATAGGTCTCAGCTCCCAGGAACCATTTATGCATGCAATTCTGTTGTCACATTTAGTTTGTAAAATAAAATTTTACTGCAGGCAAAGATCCCACTCAGTAACCACACAACCACTGCTTGTTCCTCTAAGACATTACCATAATTTGCCTGTTGCTGTAGGAAAGCACTGTGTGTATAGAGAAAACAAAACAAAAATGCATGTTTTCTTGAAACTTCGTTTTCTACACAGAATCTAAACTGGTGAGCAAATTAATACATACCTTCTCCTCATCAACAGTATTTGGATTACTTTGCAAGTAATGAAACAGAAGAGTGTTTTTCCCCCAATTTTCTTTTGATACGAAAACTATATCAGAAATAGATCTGAACTCCTGACAGAAGAGACAACTGCCTTTCTCACTCATGTGGGCATGGCATTCCCAGCCAAGAAGAAACATGAAGTGTTTCTATATTATGTTCAGTAAGGAAAGAAATGTTTCATGAAACCCCAGTCCTTCCTCTCACCATTG